GCAGGAAGGATTTCTTATTAGAGGCACAGTGTGGTATTGTTCGTGACTACGAAAAAAACACTGCTTTTACCTGGAACATTTCACATATATTCCAGATCTTCAGATGAAACCCCAAGTCCACTGAAGTCATGGAGCTCATGACTTTAAAGAGAAAATGCACCCTAAACTTGGACCCCCTAAACTGTCTATATTTTGGTATAAAGAAAAAGAAATAGGAAGGACTTACCCCCCTAAGATGGTTAGAAGCTTTTTCAGATATTTAAAAGATTCCAAATGAAACCAAATCTCTTAAACTGAAACATTTCCCCATAGGAATGACAATTCCCAATACTTCTGCATCAGAGCACAGAGGGATAATTAGTTAGAAAACAAACTTGAGAGAAACTAAAGAGTCTAATTTCAACTGTCTACGGCGAGTGAAATACAGAAAGAAGCTAAAGGAAATAAAAGTTCAGATTTAAAAAATCCATAATGATCTGAGTTTTATGTTGCCTAAGTCTCCTTTCAGAAGGGAGTCTTTAATTTTAAATCTTTTATTAAATAAACCTCAGTAACTTTACAATCATACAGGGCCCAAAACTGATTCCACAGTTGTTAGCTTTGTTGCAGACTGCGTCATGATAATGTAAAAATCATTAGGAGCTGAGCAGCAGGTTTAACCTGACTGAGAGAGAAAGGATGTTGCTGGCTATAGGCCAGAAACTTGCTAGCTGATCTTCTGGTTGGTATCGGTTATCAATTTTATAGCTCCAGACCCTGATTCAAGGTGTTGCCACAATACCATGAGGCTGGCATTGCAAAACCCCTAATGAAGGAGAAGAGGGGACAATTCTTCAAATGGTATTGCGCTTTTAAAACACCCTGTTAAAGCCTTGTAAAAAGTAAGGTCCCTGCGTGCTCAATACCTTCCATCATGAAAGAAGGGGAGGAAAATACAGTCCTTACCAAGCACTGATTCAGTCACTTTCTGCTTTCTCTCTCCTAGTAAGGAAGTTTTGGCTTTTGGCTATGAACGATTAGTACTTTGTGGGGAGATTTGAAGGTATGGTCAGAGTCTGGTATTAGTGCCAGCTCACTGTGCCACCCTAGAATGCCAGGGAACTTTCACGCCTGGGCTACTACTGCTCGTGCTTTCCTTAAGGGCCTTCTCCTGCCAGTCAGTCCTTGAAAATGTCAATAGCTGCTATGGTGACAGCTTATGCACAGGCCTTCTGTCACAAACCCATGACTACAGATTTATCATTTTCTTGAAGACACCCAGTCCCTCTGTAGCTGTGCCACCTACGGCGTTCAGCGGATGCCCTTGGGGCTTCCATTTGTCCCGTCACAGCCGCTTGCCTCTGGCAGGAGATTGGTAGCGACTTTTTAAGTAAAGTGAGACAGCAAATTGGAGAGAACCCCAGATTTGGCTTCCATCCTTGAGCCATACCTCAGTGGTATGAATGTAGTTGACTGGAATTGTGTGCTTTGGAGCAAAGGGGAGCAGGACTTGTTCAGCTCAAGCCAATTGTGGCCACAAAGCTGGAGGTCAGCAAACTCTCTTATGGACTCTCAAAAGCCACTGCCATCTCCAGAGCACCGTGACCCTTAAGAATTCAAAGGTCTCTACAAATGTGCAGACTTGATCCACTGATTCTTGCATGTACTGATGTCAGTGTGAGACTTGTGAATGAAGTCCCACAGCAGCCTTTTACGGTCAGAATGGATCATCTAACACGTAGGGAAGGCAAGGAAAATGTAGCTTACTACATTGCCAACTCTCACAATTTGATCCTGAACTCTCTGGCTCCTGAATTCATGTGATTAGGAGAGGATCTCTGTTTATTAAATACATTTATAGCCCTGACTGTAGAGAAAACCTTGAAAAAATGGAGCCCCCAAAGCCCAAATTTCTACATGCAAATAAAAAGAGTACAACATTTATTGTTTAAAATGTCATGGTTCTTGGGGTCTGCCTCAGGATTTGTGAGTGTTGAGGGCTGGCAAACCTGGGTTATATTAAATCATTTGTTATCAAAGAAGTTAGTTGCAGACCTGGGAATCAAACTAGGACCTTCTGACTTCCGTTCCTACATTTCTCAGGACTATCCATTCCCTTACATAAATGCCACTTATTTAGGCAAATAATATTTTATTATGTACTGAGACAGCAGGTCTAAAAATACTGACATTTAAATGGATGCCTATAGGGAAAAACTCTGGGTCGCTTCCACAGGATGTCCAAATCAGCCCAAAGCCGCTGACTTGAATGCTGACTTGTGATGTGCATTCAAGCACTCAGGCCTGTAACCAGAGCTCTGAAAGTTCATTGCCATAGATGCTGTTACTGCTGGAAGGGTGTTTGCTGCAACTCTCGGCACAAAGGAGGTGAGCTTCAAAACAACAGGAACAAGAGGAATCAGTTTCCAGGTTCTTTTAAAAGGCCTGACAAATTTGGGATACGACTCAAGAGGGAGAGAGCTACAAAGTGGCATCACAAGGGATAACAAGTCTCAGCCCAGGACTCCAAATCTCCAAATGCGAAGCCTAAAGGCAAGCTGCCCTCCGCATAAGGGGAGGGAGAATTAAGCTGAGGCTAATCCCTAATATGTCTGGAACCAAGCAATGCCCTTGCACCCTTTTTTGCTTTGGTTTCTTTTCAGTTTCCAGCATAAAGAGTGAAAGAAGGCTGCTGGCAGGGTCAGTTGCTGAGATGGTTTGTGGTTCAGGACACAGTAGAGCCAGAAGCATTTGGGAAACAGCTCTCTGCAAAGCAAGTGAAGCTGAGGTCACTCGCTCTGTCTGAGAACAGAGGGAAGCGGGAGGGGTGGAAATTCAGCCTTTGAAGTATCCCCGAGACACTCCCTTACAAACACACACTCTGCCTGTAAGAATCAAATGCTGTGCAGCAAATGCTGATCTCTTAAGTGGGCCAGACACATCAGACTAGGTTGGCTGATGAAATCAGGGCTGTGGCTTTGTCAAGAAGCTCAATACATTCCTTTCCAGGCACTTAAGTAAGTGTTCATGCAGCTACATATAACCCAGAACAGTTTAAAGTCTGGGTTGCAGAGGTCCCTGCCCATATGTGCAATGTGAATGAAAACATGGAAAGAGCCTTCCTCACTTGCACCTCTGGCACAGCTGGTGTGGATGTCAGCTGGTGGTGGCAAGCCTTCAAGGATAGCTAGGAATGACAGTTCACTGGCTAGGACAATATGCAAAGACTTGAGTGATCCAGGTTCAATTCCATATGGGACCCAGGCAAGTCACTCAGACCCTCTGGGCCTCAGTTTCCACCAGTAATATGCAAGAGCACTTTAAGGATAAATGCATAAAACATTGCAAGGTGCTCTTGGGTTACAGCAATAGACTACAAGGTTGTGCCCATTACAGAAGGTGGACATCATGTGCCACTCATCACTGAAATGGATACAGTGGTAATGGGAGGGTGACGACACTCCACAGTCTTTCAAGGCTTGTATGAGCTCATCAAAGAAATCTAGCATAGGCAGCATAGACTCCTGCCTAGCCTGTTCTGATGGGAAGCGCTATGCACAACTAACAGTGTGGGGATAGCCATCTTTCCCCATGCTAAAGTGCCGGTCAACTCTGAACAGAGGCACTGACATACCAGTTGAGCAGTTTCTTCATTCAGAAGAACTTTAAGCATATCTGTGGGCCATAAAAACAAATGAATGGTATTTGCCTCAATGATGTCAAAGGGATTTTAGCAGCAGGGCTGTGAAAAACATCTAGCCAACTGACTCTAGAGAGGAAAGAGAGGTGCTGAAATGTGTTTTGAAGGGGCCTTAAGATAGTTTTCTTGTGGTTAGGACATGTGATATTTTAAATAACACAAGGAATCTGTGAACCATAGGTTTTCAGAGGTGTGGGAGACTCACTGGAAAACATTCCAGGTATAAACAGTTGGAAGCACCATCTTCCTTACCATTCTCCCCGGCTTCTAACATGCCTTGCAAATATCGGAAAGATCCAGACTGCTTAGGCTCTGAGACCGGCTTTTCATAATCTTGAAGCATCTTATACACATCTGACTCCATGTCGATCCCATTTCTGCTCCGTGGAAGAGATCTCAAAGGGTCGGCACTGTTTGAAAATAAAGAAACGTCAATGTCAAGAGTTAATCAACCCTTGAACAGGTGCAGGAAGAAAAACATCAGCTGATTAGAGATGGGCAAACTTCCTGGAGCTTAAGGCTCTGCAACCTGCCCCAAACATTTTGAGGCAAAAAAGCCTGCATCTGATGGAACCTCTACAGCTGTAAATTAAATCCATGCTTATTTTCATAGTGATTCAATTAAACACCCTTCCCCCTGCCCTGGGGAAGCCTGCTTTAGGGAAACAGTCATGCAAGGCATGCAAGAGAAATGTGTATGTTGCTTGTTCTTCTGAGCAACATAATGAAGACTCAACCAGTTCCAAATTCTCCTGGAGAGAGGGCAGCTGCTAAAAAGCATTGTAAATTGCTACACATGGAACATATTGAAAAAATGCATAAAATAATGCATTAAATTAATGATTTGGGGCACTGGAAGCCACCCAATCCTTGCTAGAATATCTGGCATCAGGGATACTATTTGTAGTTGCCAGCCAGAGCCCCAGTGGGATATGACGTTATCTTACATGAATGCACCTTTTCTAATGCAGCTGCCTTCTAGGTGATTCCAACTTTAAAAGGCATGTTCATGGGTTATAATGCTGGACCACAGCAAGTGAGAAATAGACAAGTTAAGAAAATGTCCTATGTTATGGCTCCGTCCCCCTTCTCCTTTGATCTGCTTCGACTGGAAGCCCTCTAGGACTGCCTTCACATCTGCCTGCAAGGCAACCAGCACAATACTGGGGGCAATTTAAATGATATTGCAATAAAACAATAAATAGTAAATCCAGGCCCCAATCCATCACTTTATCCCTACACAGCAAAGCAAATCTTTTGAAATGTAGGTCCCAGTGACTTCAAAGAGACTTTAGCTTCAGTGCTGGCTGAATGGGGATGGACTTAAGGTATGCATTTAAATGTTCTACTAAACCAAGGCCTAATACAGTTTCTTGGTGAAAGCAGTTTGTCTGCAAGGATCCAAGCATATAAAGATACTAAAAACAGCAAGAGCACTTAATCCTGTCAGGCTGCTTAACATATTTTAATTGCAATCTGACTCAGTCTCCACTGGCATTGTATTTGCATGCACACAAAAATCAAACAAAATTCACATTTGACAACTGCCCAAGACTGCATGTTGTGGAAGTGATCTGGGTCTCAAAATTTGGCTGGTCGCAATGTGCATGTGGTGGGATGTAATTTAGGAACTCCAGGCTAAACTCCCAAGATCAGACAAGTGTGTATCTTGCTTTCACAGTTCACCCTGTGGGACTGGGCTGCTCGGCAATTCCTGAGTTCTCCAAAGACTGCAATGCCGATGAATTCTGGATACACAGAGCAGGAGGGCTGCTGCTGAGTACAGATGGGTGCGGTCGGAGGCTGCTGAAGTTGCTGACGCTGGGGAGGTATGTTATCTGTGCCAATTGTTCTGGTGTCTTGCGCACAAGTTCAGAGTTATTTAACAACCTTGCTAAAACTCGCTCATCCCTCACTTGATATGTTTTCAACAAGGAAGTAAATCTGTGCTTTATCAGCTCCAGGCAGGCTGCAGACTTGGAAAACACTGCACTCATTGACCCAATACTGAACCTACAACGGGGTTCAAAATTAGGCAGAAACATGTTTGCTCACTGCTGAAGTTAAATCTCCCTATTTTTTAGCCAAGATACACAAAAAAGACCCATTTTGTTCCCAGTAATTTCAGTGCAGTTCCCAGGACTTCCAACCTTATTAACTTCGATGGAGCTGCATAGGGGTAACAGAGCAGAACGTGGCTGATACTTTTACTGAAGCGTGAATTAGGACAGGCATGCAGCACTTCATGACGTGGAAAAACAAATCTTCATGTTGTTTGGAACTGGTGTGGGCATTATTTCTCATTTAGACTATTTTAATGGTTCTTGTGAAGTATATGTTAGTAACAGCTGGAGACATGTGAAAATACACCAGTCCAAACTGTTGGTCCCCATCAAAGTTTAAGATAATCGTCTGAGCTGTGTGTGTTTTCATTTCTAAAAGCATGAATCTCTCTCTGCTTTCCCAACAGCTGCTTTAACCCAACCTAGACTTTGCCAGTTTATTGGGTTTAATTTTTATGAAAACAATCTCGGGGGGCTTCACTTGAAAGTCTGCAGAAGAACAATCCTGGCTTCTTCTCCAAAATACATCAGGACCAGGAACTGGGGAATGTACTGGTGAATACTGGGGGCTCAGGTCTCAAACTAGGAACCTCTGTATGATAAGCTTAGATCTATCAGCTTTATCCCCCACTGGGATCTAAGCCAGGGCTTTCCAGCCTACTACTGCATTTATTTGAATCCAAGACAAGGTTTCCCCCCACCCCACCAATCAACACAGGGGCGAGGGGGAGAGCCTTGTCTTGGATTCAAATACTGGCCCAAGACAGGCAGCAGCTCAGCTCCAGCTTCAGCCCCGAGCTCAGGGCTGAAGCCAGGGCTGAACTGCCTCTGCCCCAGGCCAGGATGGCCTGTTTGGCAGAGAAGGGCATTTGCAACTGGTGGAGTGTGGTGGAGATCACAAGCCTGCAACAACAGGGGAGACCCACCTATGCAGATCTAGGGGGAGCATAGGAAAGACTGCATAGCTTGCCTCCCTCAGCTGTTCCTTTTCCTCTTTACTTTCTGCTTTGGCTCTGGTCCCTCCAGCCCCAACCTGCCCCGGCCAGTAGCTCCCAGTACTTCTCCCTGGCAGGGCTGGACTGGGGCGAGGCAGGGTCGGGCTGCTGTGGCCAAGTGCCCTGGAGCAGGAGCAGAACTGCAGCGAAGGGCAGAAGCGGGGTGGGGGGCATGGAGGGAGAGGTGGCAGGGGTCAGGCACCAACTAGCTTGGTTGATTAATTTAGATATGAACTCATTATCCTCAGTGCAAGCCAGGAGAGTAGTAACAGCAGTATGCAGGGATAGGTCCTGTTTTATCCTGTTTCATCCAGTTGCTACACACATGTGTGACACAAACATGACACAACACGATGCACCTCTTTGCCACCTCCACATCTAAGTTAGCCATTGTTTGGATGCCCACTGTAGGGCAATTTGGTGTAACTTGCACCATTTGGCCAGTGACATTCATTCTGAATTTGGCTCAGAGATGCTCGCAGCAGGTATGCTTGTTTGTTCTTCGGGGTGGGGAAATGCGTTTTGCTGAATCTGACTCTTCCTTTCTAATGAACATAGGCTCCCCTCCCAGGAAGACCCTGTGGCAGCCAGCAGAGGTGGTTAAAAGAAATTAAAAAAAAGTCTCTCAGGCCTTTCTGAAATCCACACTTAAAAGGAAAATGGCAACTCAAATTTTTTAAACAGACTCTTTTTAGGAAGTGCTAATTGCTGACAGAACAATCTTAAAATAGCATGTTCTGATTTTTTAGCAAGATTCCTTTGAAAACGTTTCAAGTTTTCCTGTTCTCTTGTTAAAATTTATAAAATGTAAGGGTCTTTTCATCAAGAGAAAACCTGAGTAAGTGGCTGTACAGAGGAAACGGAAGGAGTGATTATACACAGTGGGCTGCCACATGCACAAAATATAAAGGTGAAGAAAACAGAGAATGTCTTTAACTGATACCATTGATTAGTCAGTTAGTTTAGATGTTAACTGGAGGTATAACAGAGCCACTGTCAGGCAGAAGTGGTTTTTTTTTCTGAATAGACCACTGCCTTTTAAGGAAAGAGCAAGTCTGAATGCTCACACCAAGTGATTATTGACCAGTCATGCTGGCTATGGAAAAAGCACACACACACAAAATCCCTCCACTTATCACTTACTGGACTGCTTGTGCTGTAGTTCACATGTTCTGATTCAACAAAGCCATCACTAACACTCCCAGGATTTATAACGAGCTCATGTGGATTGGATTCGAGCGCCAGAGGGGCAATCAATGAACTTCACCCAGTACAGCAGGCGTCTACCTCCCTCCACACCCCCTCCAGCCTTCTGAATAGGAATAAAGTCTTCAGTTCCAAAAACAAAGGTTTCACATTTCACCCCCATGCTGACTTCACATCTCTGCTGACACGCTGGGACTGGACCAGCAAGCTCTAAATCACAAAGCATTTGTACAACCCCTATACTCTACAGACAGGCCACAAAGCACGGCCTGGTACTTCTACACACATACCTGCTTTGCATCACCCTTTGTATAAGTTGCAATTAAAAAGGTCAAATTCCATACTGAACCATTAACAATAGAAGTGCATGAATTAAGCTTTTCTCACACCTTTGGGAAGCAGCAATATGGAGCCCACTCAGCTGTGCTGGCAAACTGGACTCAGCATTGTTATTGGCATAGAGTCGTGTTGGATTATTGTACTGTAAGTTCAACATCTGTTTGCTGTCAGTCGGGCTCCCTCCAGCAGTGTGAGGCACTGGCCTTTTGCTCTGAACAGGTCCATTATCCTATGGGAGAAAAAAGAAAAAAAGATGTATAGTTCCTGGTACCAAATAACTGTGCTCTGACTCGTAGGCTGGGCTAACATTTGATCCCAGTAAGTAGAGGAAGACAAAGAAATTGATCAGGAAAAAGGAAGTTCAAACTAGAGCTATAATTTGCTCGGTCAGTGCAGCCTTCATTGGTCTGTAATTAAATATGCTTGAGTGCTTCTCCGGATTTACCACCGCTAAGGATTCTTTACCTTCTCCACAACATCAATATTCATTATTTTGCATACCGGAAAGCTGGAGCCCTGATTCCAGTCTCAGCTACACCACTTTCTACTGGAGATACGTATACACTACTCCAGATTCACACTGGTACAAGCAAGATCAAAATCAGACACAAGGGCTGCTCATTTAGGCCACAGCACATAAATATAGTGGTGCACCGATAAAGATTTTCTTGGCCAATACCGATAAGATAACTGATATTTAGTGTATTTAGTGCCATTTCTAAGCACGGAGACGCTGATATAGGAGACATAGTGGCACGTTAATTAGGGCTGCTGTCAGAGCCACTCTAATTAAAGTGCTGTCCCCCCGCTCCTGGAGCACATGTAGAAGTGCCCGTGCCAGCTGCAGCAGTTGGGGCTAACCTAGCAGTGCCTGGGACTGGCTGTGCAGAGCCCCTGTCCTTCAGCCAGCAGCCTGGGGGCAGCTGGCCGAGCCTGTCTGGCTGCCCGGGGCTGGGTGATTTCGGGCCAGGCTCCCTGCCCTCCTGCCTCTGCCCAGGGCAGGGCCACAGGACTGAATGGACCGGGCCCTGGGAAGGGCAGGACCCGGCTGGATGGAGGGGCTGGGGAAAGCACCCTGCTGCACACAGCCGGCAGAGCGGCTCCCCGGGGCGGTGAGTGGTCACAGGGGCAGAGAGGTCAGCTTCTGACGGCCCCTGCTGGGCGGGGAGGGATGGAGTCTCCTCTGAGCTCCTTGAGATGGTGGTGTGTGCGTGACCCGGGGAAGCGGGGTGCAGGGCAGCCGCTGCCTTACCCCTTCTCCTTCAGAGCCCTTGCCCTACCCCGTGCTGTCTGGCCACACGAGGGGCTTGAGCACCAGTGTGGGGTGAGATGGGCAGAGTGTGGCTTGTGAAGGGGTGCAGCTATGAGGGGCCTCAGCCCCCATGAGGCAGCGCCTACCCTAGTGCCTCGGTTGTAAAATGAGCCTCCCAATGTGCATTGGGGGGGGTGGGGAGGAAGAGCCTCTCCTCTTGGATTCGGGGGTGAAAGGGGGCAAGCAGCTGTTGCGGCTCCCACTCACGCCCTCAGCCCAGGTCAGGGCTGGAGTCAGACCCACGGCAGCTGCTTGTCCCCCCTGCACCCACTGTCCTACCCCTTATCGGGGACACTGATGCATGAGACACTGGAGTCTGCTGGAGCACTGTAATTACCACGCTCCAGCAGACTCAATTAATCGAGTCTGCTCCGACGCACTGGAATTACAGTGTCACTGCAGCCTCGCAGCTCGTGTATAGGAGCCCTCCATTGCGAGGTACTAGGAAAATGCGTATTAGCTCGGCTTAACGCGCATTAACTAAAGCGAATGCTTTTTAAGTGACACTTAATGTGCGTTAGCCTAGTTTCACGCCCATTAAGTATAAAGTATGTTTTTTTATGTGATACTTTAATGCATATTAAAATAGGCTAATGAGCATTAAGGTGCACATGTAGATGTCCTGTATATATATACCCATGCAAGCCCGATTAATGTGTGCATTAAGGGAAGAATGGACTCTTATGTGAGAGATGTGGTATTATGCTCATTTATACACTCAGTTTTCAATATTCTTGTATACCAGGGCTCATGGAAAAAATCAAGAAAGAAAGAAAAACACATTGTGAACAAACAATAGAGTACATGGTTGGGGCTCTAGTAGGTTTACTTTTGACTGATAGGAAACAAATGTGTATCACTGGCACACACAATACTGGCACATAGTGTAAAAAACCCTCAAACAAACTGGTAAGAAAAAATAAAAACCAGATCCAACTAGAGAAAAGGTTTCCAGGAATCCAATCCTGGGGATCTCTTGAAGGAAAAACTCCCATTGATATCAGTGGCACTATTGTCCTAGTACAGGGGTGGGCACTTATTTTGGGCGGAGGGCCGCTTACTGAGTTTTGGCAAGCCATTGAAGGCCGCATGACAGGCAGCCAGGGGCAGATAAATATTAATTTACTGAATTTTGGGGGGGCCCTGCAGGCCGGATAGAATGACCTGGCGGGCCGCATCCAGCCCATGGGCTGCATTTTGCCCACCCCTGTCCTAGTAGGTAGGGCTAACCAGGGCTTTCAGTGACTGATCCTAAAACCATTAAACATGTGAGATACACTGGACTTGGTGAGACTGCGAGAAGGCAACACAAGTTTAAAATCAGCACAAAATTGGGGACTTACCTGTAATATTATTTCAGAGAAACTGAGATATGAGGCAGGATTGTTTCTAAAATCATAATTACTCCAAAATAATCTGTTCTATTCCCATCAGGGAATAAAATAATTTTTAACGTTGTCCCCAAATTATACTCTTTAAGAAAATGATTACCAAGCCATTGCTCCCAATTCCTAGATTTATGGTACTATTTTCAGGGAAGTTAAGCATACACTTTCTTCCATGCCAAAAAGGGGAAATGGATAATCATAAATGTTTGAGGAAAAGCAACGGCACAAATTGGCCAGAAGATAAATAACATTTAGTAATCAACTACGACTATATCTGCTGACACTTCTACTGTACATGTCTCTGGAAGATAGGCCTGACATTGCATGGCACTGAAGTGGCACTGAATGCTATCCTTTTTCCGAGCCCAGGGTCCAGCCAGCACGGCTCTGGGAGGGGTACGGCAGTTTGGGATCTTGGACCGACAGAACTGTGCTGGCGAGAGCCTCCAGTTTAGGCCATTTTACCCACAAAACTTTGCTTTTACTGTTACAGGTTGTTTTGCTCCGGGGACGGACACGTCCATGCTTGGAGTCCCTTGTCAATGTAGCATGCTAGTAGGGCTAAGGGAAAAGCTAGCACCTGACCTTAGTTAGTCGAGTAATAGGGAAACCACAGAGCCACGTCCATTGGCTGGTCGGGTCTAGCACTGAGGCCTGGTAGTGCTGTTTTACATGGCTGAGCACTCAGAAGGGTGCCCACGCAGGTGCATGTGCAGTTCCTAAGGAAGTCAGGACAATGCAGCACGTGTTTGTGGGGATCATCTGGATTTTGAGTCTTTGGGCTAAATGCTCCTTTCTACAAAGAGATAGAGCAGGTCTGTTAATGGACTACCTGAGCGCATCATACCAGAGGCTCTCGCCCTCTTCTCCCTGGGTGTGAACCCAGAGGGAGAGGACACCGCCTGCACCCAGGGAATCACCGAGAGGCCTGAGAAAGATCTGAGCTACCTTGTGGGGCCGGGGCCCATCCCTCTGTGCAGGGTTAGAGCTTTTCCTTGGTTGGAAAACACACGGAAAACTTAGCTAGGCCACCCCCCTGGACTTTCTAGCACTCTTT